ATTAATATTATGAATAATAAGTATTTATTTATAATTAATATTAATCATGATTACAATCGGAAAAACTATCAAAAAGTTTCCCATAAATTACTTTAAGTAGCTTATCAATAAGCTATCTTATAAGCTAAAAGTTCCTCATAAGCTATTTCCAGTAGTTTATCAATAAGCTAACTTATAAATTAATTTATGTACGTTTAAACGAAAGCTCGAAAGATGATTTACTTCACGGACAAGGTCTCTGGTTCAAGTCCAGAAAGAATTACATTTAAGCATTTCATTGCTTTAGTTAAAACATTCATGCTTAGAAAATAAGGTAGCTTATTTTTAAACAATATCATAAAATGGATAAAAAAAAGGCAATAGTGTCAGATTTTTATAAACCACAGATATTAGATATTTTAGTTCTATTATTTTCAAGTAGTAGGTTTTTACGAAATTACCCAAATGGTCGGAAAAAAGCATATATTTGTTTTAATAAGTATTTTATTATATAATTTTTTTTAAGTAAACTGTAATTTTGGATCTGGTTTTGAAAAGATTGTAATTTCCTTCCTTATAATTTTAAAATTTCGATTTCACCTCCGTGGTTTGAAATTTTGTTGCTGTTTTCATCTCCTGATTTATGTCCTTGAGACTAAATTTATTAAAAATTATCTATTTTAACTTAGTGGTATTTTGGTCTTTTTAAATATATTTTAGTTTATTGATTATCTTTTTTGGTTTCTTTTTTGATATTTTTTTATTTAATCAAACTATATATTATGTGATAAAAAAACAAATATATACATATATATAAATATTATTTTACTATTGTTTATAATAAAATAATTAAATATTTTTCATGCAATTCGTTTTCATATTTTTAGTTATTATAGTTTTAGTTTCTTACTAATTCAATTTTTATTATTAACGTTATTCAAGTGTAAGTCATTGAATATCCCTCACATGATTGTATTTTAATTCTTTTTTCTTCATTAGGTACTAAACGATTTAATTTTTTATCAAATAAATGTATGCGATTTTTATTAATAGAACATATAATTTTATAAACCTATTGTAAAACATTTATATATTTGTTTGGTGTAATTGAATGACTTATGAGGCCAAACAATTATACACAGTATACTAAAATTACATACATTTGTTTGGTAAGAATAACCCAAAAATAGTTAATTATTTGGTCATATAAAAAATATAATTTTTTGGTCTTCAGTGAATAAAAAATAATTAAAATACTCTTATGTGAGAATTACTCAACGGCTTGTACTTGAAGGATGTTAGTGACGAAAATGGAAGTCATAAAAAACTAAAAGTATATATATATAAAAAAAAATAGTTGTATTAAAAATATTTTAATTATTTTCTCACAAACAATAACAAAATAATATAATTTTTTTATCTATTATTTTTTTATATAAGAAAATATATAGTTTTATTAACTCAAAAAGACAAAAACACTACACAAAAGAAGATCAAAAAGACTAAGGTGACGTTTGTTTTTTAAGAGGTTCTGAAGTCTGAAGTCTGATTTCACTTCTGAATTTTAAGAGGTGGTACTGAAGTCTGAAATCTGAATCAGTCAGACTGTTTGTTTTTACGTCTGAAATCTGAATCAATCAAGTTTTGGATCTGATAGATTTGGATCGATCTGCGTCATGATTTTACGAGAATATGTGGATCGATCTGGGTCGTAATTGATTTGGAGATCGAATGTCTTGCGAAATAGATTTGGAGGACTAAATCTGGAGGTGAGAGTCTGGAGGGAGCGATTAAGAGGATTTAAGTGATTATGTTATCACTTTTTTTCAGAGCAAATTAAGAGCTTTTCAGCTCTTATTTATATAAAAAAACAAACGATCTGAAAATAAAAACGTCT